CTAACATAGTAAACTATGTACCTAGTGTAGTAGTGAAATACCCATTCTTGGCGAAATGACCTATATATAGAGCCGTAAAGTTTAAATAGCCCGCATGAATACTGCTTATGCGTACCCCAACCATATCAAGCATACTTGGGGGAGGCCCCCCACCCCCAAGCCCGTAAAATCGTTGGCCTTTAGAGTACAGTAACTTGACTGATTACAATTTTATACCGATGATACTTAAAAAGTCCGGACAAATCACCATTTTTATACAATCAAAACACCCATGGAAACCACAAAAATAAAAAACGAAATGTTATAAGCATATTCACCTTGCTTCACAAGCTTTCTTTATGGCTGCATCATTCTTTCGTTTTCTTTTTTTGACACAATGGTAAGCAGGAATTTTAGGCCCCATTGTAAAAGCTAATAACAAAAATATTAGTTGAAGCAACGATAATTAATAACTAGGTAGGTACTTATAATAATAAAAATTAATACGGTTGTGGAAACTTACATACAGTCAACGATTAAACTTTTGCGGTCGTAGTATATCCAGCCAGTTTTACGATGAATGCACTCGTAGCATCGCTCGGGACGCGTGCGCTACAAAGCGACATAGGTCCAACCTCCAAAGGCGCTGGCGCGGTACTGAACGGCGCCTAGATTCGCACTAGTATATTTTGCATTTTACGGGTGATGTTCAGAGTCTTATAAAATAATAATTAATGAACTTATTATAAAAATATATACATATTTCAGTAGTTCAATGATTGTAGATTAGTTTTATGAAAGTTTTTGATAGTAATTCTATTTAATTCAATATCAAAATACGAGGTAAACCTGCGTTATTTTTTGAGGAAACTCACGGAGGTTAGATGTTTTTTTAATAATTAATGAGATATAAAATCAAGATTCTAATACATTACGTTGCAACAAAAACATATTTCTGATGTCGTAGTATTTAATTTGATCTAATTTATTGAACATTATTGTGAGATTAAGGCGTTTAAAGTTGTGCATATTATCGTTTTTTCCGTAAACTAGCTGCGGTAGAACGATCAGTACAAAAAAATGAAAATAGTATTTGCAAATATTCTACATTAATATTCAATAGGAAGAATAAATCTACTGTTTACTCTATTGGAAGTAGTCAAAATAGTTTCTAAGGGGACAAACGAGGCGCTCAAAATATGCGATTTATTGCAAAAAATGTGAAAGGGCTCTTAATTTTTCCTGTACCTAGTAAGTATTAATAAGGTTTGTAGAGCGCAACGGGGTAAGGAATGGGATCAGAGCTAGCAACGCTTATGTGTTACCAGTTCACGTAGCATGAGCGTGTGTATCGTGATATACAAATTACACGATTTTTTTAACGCGTGTTGCTGTCAAACTCCATTATGATTTGACAATTTACGGTGCTCATAATATTACATTTCTACTTTTCTTGCTCACAATATTCTTTGAATTTCTGTTTTTATTTTTGGATTCGAAGGACGTCACTCTAAACTATGGCGCCGCCTTACAGCGAACTGTTATGAATATGCTACTACGTATTATGTTGATTGAATGAAACAGATATACTTATATCGTTTTGTAATTATAAGCACTTATGGTATGGTAAGGCACCCTTATTTTAAATTATTTGTTTTCCAAGAAATCAGTCTGTCTAATGTTTCGATTATAGATAAACTTGCTACCTTGCTACACAATAAGGTTTAAGTCAATGTCAAATTGCATTCAAACACGTGTCGTTGAATGCCTTTAAAATTATTGAATTAGGTGGGTGTTGAACTGCATGCGTAAGAACAACATGAAATATGCTAGCTGATAACTTTCTATTGCAGATAGTAAATTCTATTAAGGGATGGTATTTTATTATATGTGTAATATGACCATATTTTGTGTACAGCCACTATGCGAAAGTTAGTATTATTTTGTGTCCGTGGTGTGATATTCAATCAACATGTCGTGAATAAATTGATTATGAGTTGATATTGTGTTGTGAATAAGTTGATATTGCGATTGTAAATATATGTGCTTGCTGCTAAGATATTTCACTTGTACAGCTACTGTAGCAAAAAAACCAACCAACTAAAAAAAACAACTTGTTCTTTTATATCAACAAGTGAATTTTATATAAAATCTGAGATGCAAGCAAAGCCAGCACTACTACATAGTAGGGTGGTCCTTATTTTGGGTAAGTCGGAATTTCAAACCTCTCACCCCTTGCATATCTCCCATTTGCCAAAAAAAAAATGTGTGCAAAGTTTAAGCCCAATCGGACAACGTTTACCCGTGGCCCAAGAGGGTCAAAGTTCAATATTCGTGCCAATATGTAAAAACTAATTTTTGGGTTAATTTCTAAGGGCATAGATGATTTCATTTCCATGGACTCAAATAAGCTCTTTGTACGATTTGGTGTATCTTCTGAGTTCCTTAACGAGGATCCGTCGACTTGGAACAGTAATCAAACCTACTTAGATGCGTTAGAATTCTTCAAGAGCGTCAGAGTGGTAAACGACGTGGCTGAGAGAGGAGTAAAATTAATGGATGACTACAATAAAGTCATTACAAAAAATGAAGAACAAAAGCAAAGTCTTTTACAAGTCGTCCAAGACTATCGTAAAACATTTCCGGACTGTAAGAGATCTACGATGTGCAAGCAATTTTAAAAAAAAATCTAAAATAAATTCAATCATTTTTATTTATATAAAATCACAGACGTGTGCGAATACCATCTCATGGCTCCTGCCACGAGTTTCCTTTGTATTTATATTCAATTATTTTCATTTAATTAATTATCTACGTCAATGCGACTAGAATCGAACAGCGACAGAATGTATAACAGAATACATGATTTATATCTAAAACAGAATAATAATTTCATATTCAAAAACACGATTGTTAACCATCAATTTTATTCATCATCCTTTTTATTTCTGCGCACCTGAAATGATAACATTACATCGCGAAATTTCTGAGGATCCGTTTCGTATACGCTTTTCGTTTCTTATCGATATCACAGTCGCAAGTATTCACGAGTTTCGTTCAGAAATATTAATGAAACAAAATCAAAGGCGATAATGAAACCAAAAAACCATTTTGGTGGTTTTTACCAATGGTTTTTACCATTTGGCTACAATATTAAACTTTGACCCTCTTGGGCCACGGGTAAACGTTGTCCGATTGGGCTTAAACTTTGCACACATTTTTTTTTTGGCAAATGGGAGATATGCAAGGGGTGAGAGGTTTGAAATTCCGACTTACCCAAAATAAGGACCACCCTACTACATAGCGATTTCATTATGTTCATTATGTAAAAAATTATGTATGATATGTTTTGTGTGAGTATCAAAGCTTTTAAATACTATAATTAAATGCTATCAAATAAAAGAAGGTTAAGAAATATATAACATCATTTTAGAATTATGTTAAAAGGTTGTTGAGTTTATAATTATAATAAGAACTTAATATCCATACTGCTGGGGCACAGGCCCTTCATATGGGTGGGGGTGGAGAGATTGGCTTTGACCCAGTATGCGGATTAGTGGGTGCTAATAACTGCAGATGCAGTTGAGACCAATTGCATAACGTGCCTTCCTAAGCACGGAAAAACTCGAGATAGTGAATTTTTGATTCCCATTCGATGATCGGCCATTGCGAAAGTTGCTCATCTTCCACGATTGCAGACTGAACGCCCTAAACTGAGCTCTTCATAATATACTGCACATTATAGAATAAAAATGGGTTTCTCGCTCTCACACCCTCTGCCTGTGTGGCTAGGGCATAAAAGGGACCTTTTGTATACTTTATTTCGAATGTGTACAACCTGCAAGTAAAAATATGTAATTACAATTATTTTCGATATATTATGACGGTTCTGAAGTAGTAGTTGTAGTTTGAATGTGTATTAGATGTTTTGGGATTGGAATTATCTTCTGCTCATCCAAATATATTTATAATGATAATGACAAACTATAATGATTAAAATACTAATTAGGGCTTTGAAACGCAACGCTGAAAAAATATTTCAATTTGCTGGGGTAAATTAAATACCAATAGAGATGTCGTACAGTCATTGATTGAATACACTTCGATCGCTACTTTGTTATGGGTGATCAATCCACACCATTACCGTAATTCATAGAATGTCAATAATATTATTTCGTCACTATTAAGAGAAACTCAATTAACACAGTGCCCTTAAGGCAATCCATTTTAAGATACTTGAAAATAACACTCGTCACTTTCGATTGGTGTTAATAATTATTTCGTCACTATTAAGAGGGATCTCAATAAACACAAGTGCCCTTAAGGCAATACATTCTCAATAAACACAAGTGGCCCTTAAGGCAATACATTTTAAAATTCGATAATTGAAAATAACAATCCTCACTATCGATTGGTGTTAATTGATATTCTAAGCATCTCTAAGAATTTCGAGATAACAGCAGACCACTTCAAATAATATAAACGTTCCCACGAACGAAGCCCTTTTCGGGAGTGACGTCACATAATCATGACCCTTAAATAGCAAAGGCACAATGATCCTACAACTCATTCGCCTCCCGCATCGAGCAAGGGTTCACTTGGTCTATCGTAGACTATTTAGTTTAATTTAAATAAGTTAAATATTCTAATGTTTTGCAAGTAAACTTTACAACAAATTTATATTTTTTAATAAGTTCCATTACCGAAACCTGACTACTTATACACAGCAAATAAACATTTTGTGTTTATTTTGAATTTTACACTTTTATTTTTATTTATTTTTGTATAAAAATTTTGACTGTCTGTATGGAGCTTTCATCGCATAACAACCAAAAAAATCCCGTTTCCTATTATTATATATTAAAACTTTGAATTTAACAATTACAAGCCAATGTGCATAAGGGATGTACTAAAAAGTGTGTGTTGTTTACGTTCAATTTTAAAATTCAAAAACTGGATACATATAGACACTTAAAAAATTGCAATAGCCAACATGTTAAAAACCAACTGCTTGTCAACAGTTTCGCATAGACAAATTGGAGGGGGACTGGTCAGGCAGTCTGTCGATTGGAGCCGTCGGTACATTGCCGATGGAGAATCTTCCGCCTAGCGCACTACACTTAGAACCGCCAGTGTGGGTCGTTTCAAGCGATCTGCTACACAATAACGGCACTTTAGTAAGTAAAACCAAATATAATATATAAAATTCTCGTGTGGTGTGCGTAATTAAACTACTCCGAAACGGCTCGACCGATATTCGTGAAATTACATATGCGTATTCAGTAGGTCTGAGAATTGGACAACATCTATCTTTCATCCCCCTAAATATTAAGGGTGGTCCACCATTAAAAATTGTTTTTTTGGACAATTCTTTTTGTTTTTTTTTTTATGATACATAATACAAAAATACATACAAGCCAAATATAAAATAAAAAAAAATACAAATTTTCTCCCTTCTACCACCAACCCCTATTTTTTTATTGCGGTACGAAGTTCGCTGGGACAGCTAGTTTCTTTATAAACAATCAACAACAATGTGTACAAGGGTATAAACATTTCAATGAACTCGATTAAAAAAAATATGAAATCGGTGGAGTTTCAATTATTCCTAAGTATTTTTTTATCATTTTAACCAAGCAGCAGCAATAGAGAATCAGAATTATTGTTATTATTATTATGTTTTATATTAGAAATATCCCTCTAAAATATTTTTGTATATTAATTTCAAACGTTCACTCTCCTTTCAGACAGTGACAGATCTGGCGTCAGCACTAGAATTTCTGCACGAGCAATCCGTGGTGACTATACACTTTAGATTTAACAACGATCTAGTCGTAGACATAGATGGAACGGTAATCGGAGCCATAGGGTCTGTGCCCAGGCTGTACAGCCACGTCTTCCCTTTGATAGACCTCTATGGAAAAGTTTTACAGGTTAGTAAACAGCCAACAATTTATAATAATCTATATCTCATATAATTATTTTTTACTGTTAAAATAGTAAGATATTTTTTTTTATAAATTTTATTATATTTGTTGTGAGTTTATTAAATACTCATAATGCGTTTCACTTGCCACAGGTTTCAGTATTACTCCATCCGTACGTGGTCGCGAGTGGAGCGTCTTTCGATCTGCCCATTATAGCAGAGAATCTCCGAGAGGAATCCCTCGCAGAATTAGAGTCGGACGATGTTGTAAATGCATACGATGATAACACCAATGCTGAAATGCGAGCCAAGCGAAAACCCAAAGCATACAGCCAAGATAATCTAGTCGAAGATCAGTTTGACCTCATAATCCAGCCGGGGCCCAGTTCGAACCCGGATCCACCTTCGTTATCTAGTCTTCTGAATACAGAAGCCAACAGTTGTGACCTATTGATAAAAGTTCAAAAACGTTCCTCGCTTCATCAGAGTCTGATTCTCCCCGAGAACATTTCGAATTTTGATAATGGTGCAGTTAACGTGATACAGAAGAGTCATTCGACGCATAATTTCTGCCAAGTGGTAGAGAACAGCTCGGAATATGACGTTAAAGCACCCTTGCGTCACACGTACAGCGTTGGATCGCACGTGGGCGAAGATTCGGATGATTACGTCGCACACGAAAACAATTGCGACACGAATATTCGTCATAATGACAGGTACCCTGAAGCAAACGACGTGGACAATTTGGACAACGAAATCATGGACGCTTTGACGCTCGAGACTGGCAATTTGCCTGACTTGACAGAGGAGCAGTCTTCTTCAATAGATGAATCCACTAGGCGAGATGATATATGGTCGGAGCCTTTATCCGCTGAGAACTTGAATTATCTGAACAGAATATTGTGCTTCGACCAGGATGGTGCAGAGGGGCAGAGTTTGGAATCCGAATGGGAGGCTTCGGGTGAAGGCTGTGAGCATTTGCACTTGGTGCTGAAATATTGGAATTTCCTCGCGCTTCCATACCCGGAGCTGCGGCAAGCGGTGTCTTGGGGCCAAGTAAGGTGCTATTGCAGTAGTTGCCAGCCTGATGCGCAACCTCCTCTGGCAGGTGCGTAATAGTACATTACTGCAGAGGCCAGCAAAAGAGGCATTGTTGGACGAATGTGTAAATGTGGATCAATGCGAAGACGTGGCACACATTTATAAGTCCATCAATGCCTAGTTCTGGCCAAGGCTTATATAGTACTTTTAGTTTTAGTACCTGGGCTGAACTTATTATTTTAAAATACAATTATGTAGTTACCTACTTTTCATAATCTGTTCGAATAACGAACAACACCACACATTGTTTTTTTTATTCATTAAACGGCTTTCTATTGGCTAGTCAGTTCGAAATTTAAATAAAACCTTTGATAAGGTTTTTTATTTATTTTAATTACCAACTTTGTTACTTATTATGAAATAAAAAATACCCTTTACAACATTTACATAAAATTGGTTATTGGTTGATTTATTCAAAAGTCGCATCCCAAAAGTTCGCCATTTTGTTTCTATATTCTAGTATCTAAAATCTTTTTTTATTTATTTTCACTACAAATACTGGTATACAAAACAATTTATTTCGCCAAACTGAAAAGTCAAACTGAAAGAGATATATATATATATATATATATATATATACCACCACAATACAATATAACTCTACTGCTTCAACGGCTTAACAGACTCGGATGAAAATTTGGCACACAGATAAACCATTACCTGATTAAAAGTAAATATCTCATGTGCTGGTTCGCAACTTAGGATACTTACTCTTATAAGTTCTCTAAAGCTAAATTATCCAAAATAACCTTTTTTTAGTTTTCTTTTAAATATATGTTTACTACGCAATATTATTCCACTTTTCCACATTATGTATTTCCGAGCTCTTTTTTAATAATTATTAGTAATATGCTCAACATATCTTTTTTGTGTCGTTTCCCTGAGTTGACATGTTGGTTTTTAATTGTTAATTTGACATTTTTTGAATTTATCACAGCCATATTAATTTTAAGACATTTCATATTTAACTTTTTCATGGACTGAAAGAATTTGTAACTTTTTAAATATTTGACAGTATGTACATACATTATTTACGATAAAGAGAAACAAAAAAAATTAATTACTTATAAAATACAAACTAGTAATAATAATTTAAATCATAGAAACTTATGGATTAAAAACATATATATACAGGAACAATGAACCTAAAACTAAAGAACATATAAAATATAATATAATAACTAAAATTAACATTATATACATGAATAATATTCAAATATCACCCCGTTTTGTTTCTGGCGCAAAGGTGCCATTATGCCAAAAAAAAAACAAAAAAAAAAACAATAATTAATTTTAAATATTTTATAGTATTTATTACAGCTTTTATTAGTTTTCGTATATAAAGGATGTATTAGTATATACTAATACATCCTTTATTATTCGAGTATCTAGGTATGTTATGGAGGGACGCCCGTATGCATCTAGGCCATAACTAATTATAGACTTAGCTAACGAATAGGATAATATGTACAATATTTTTCGGTTTACTATATCTTTTAAATTAATTAATTTAACCAGTATTGCTCGCAGTTTGATACATACCATGTCTATGTGACTACTCTAACTAAACTTAGTATCTATGGTTACTCCAAGATATTTATATTTATCTACAAACTGACTATGTGAGCATTTACAGTTTACCTGATAATTATGTAAACAATAGGCTAGTTTACTCATGTCAAATTGTATTAAATAAATGTTTATTTCTTAAAGTATTTAGTCTAAGGAACCTTAATATATCGATTGCACTTCATAAAAGCAGAAGATTGCTGTAGAAATTTAATTTTAAAAAATATTTTTTAGTCTATATTTTTTAAGCACTAAAAACGCTGTTCGCCACATCCGCCATGATTTTGACGTCTCTTCTGGTAAACAACTAAATGTCATTCGCGTGTTACTGTAGGTGGATTCTTTCGTCTGACTAAATTTATCATAAAACACTTTTAACTTTAGGAAAGAAAAAAACAGTAAACTTAGTTTTTTTTTGACAAAACTAATTATGGATGCCGGCTTTGTGACAGCAGAAAGCACAAATCTGCCAAGAATTGACGCATTGATGGTTGGTGAATTTGTTGCACTAAACCCCGATTTCTGCTCTGCGGAGCAGAGAAACGACAAGGCATCTATGTAAGTACAGTGCATTTAGTATTACAATGTAGTAATAAACATAAAACTGATACAACATATGAATAAGTGTAATAAAGTTGCGTAGGTTAATTTCTTTCGGCACTTTAATCGACAACTTTCCTGGAGTCTTCAAGGATGTGTTTTTATATTCTCGTACAATACAGTAATGATAATTACTTTATTTTTCGTGGTATTTATTAGAAATCATGTTTTTGTTTATTATAAACTCAGTTAAAAGTAATTTTCTACGTGTTTAAGAGTTTTTGTTTACGACAGTTCACGTCATAGCATAGATAATCTATAGACTAAAATGGCCGACAGCGTTTTTGTATGTCCATGAAAAGTCTATTTTAAAATTAAAGATTTGTAGCTTTCTAGGTTTAAAAAAAATACAATACATTTTTTTTCGGTCTAATAGAACATTAATTAACCATTTAAAACCTTTTTCCAAAAAGGGTCAACTAGCCTATTGTATGTGTGCCGTGCCCTATGATATTTACAGTTTCAGTAGGTTCACTTAAATAAGGTGATTTAATGAACTAAATTGTTATGAAATTACTTGTCTTTCTTATGTGCACGGAAACTTATGAAATTTTATTAATACGAGATGACGACACACAGTCTCTTAAAGCACATATAGTATGAACCATTATTAAAAAAAACAATTATTTTATATAACGCGTCTCTCAAAATGTGATACTTCCGAGCGTCGTGTCCCCGGCCACTGTATGGGATTTGGGGCTCTCTGCCTCCCTTCCCTTGCCCTGCAAACCCCGCACGATTGCTCTGTCTAGACGTGTTCGTTGGTCGACTGTATAGACCATGGATGTTAGAGGGATGGAATTGCTGTAGAAAATAATGTCCCAGAAATATGGACAAAATTAGTGAGGCGCTGCAATCGCTAATTTGTCTCTATAAAAGCGGGCTGTTGTGCGCTAATTTGAAATTTGTACATTATTCATCTAACTTCATCTACATGTATATATATAAACAGGTAACTTCACAGATAGTACTTACCGGCAGCAGCGCGGCTGGTGGCTGAAAAATTAACTATATTCTGCAAGTTTTTAGGGACATGCGGGCCAATCCTTGAGCACGTAGCCATCGTTCCTCCTTCTCTCTAACCTCCATAGTAGACTGTAAGTTTACTATGTAATTTATATGGCCGCAAAACACGACACATATTTATTTTCATACAACTTTTGCCGGTCGCTGCTCGCACATATGTGGCCAGGACAGCGACTTCGATTTATCTCGAAGAAAGTTGTCAAAATAATGTTTAAATTTTCAAGCATGTTATAATACAACGTCTTTCAATACATTTGCAAGCAAAACAGTGCCGGTAACTACCTAATTTAAGCCTATTAAATAATAAAACTTTTTTTGTATTTTTTCAAAAGTTTATGTCCGTGTAAAAGTGTTACAAATTAAATAAATAAAATAAATATTTTCTTAGCCTAGTCCCAAAGTAAGCACTATATGCTTGTGTTATGTGTTACTAGGATAACGGATAGAACATAATTATACTGATACATATATAGCTATATTTATATAGAAATATATACTTAACATCCATGACTGGAAGTCAAATGCTCGTATTCATCACACTAACATCTGCCCCCACCGGGATTCGAACCCGGTACCTCTCGATTAAGCGACACCATGAAAAGGCGTACAAACCAATCGGCCACGGCGGTTCTCAAAGATATTACAAAGATTGTACCTTTTAGACAGGTTTCAGCTACGTTTTGTTCGTGATGTTGTATTTAGGGTTTTTAATATCGTTGGAACCTTATTGTAAAGTTTTTATTTCTACACCATTAGGCTGGGTGCGCATCGAGCGTATAGACGGCGTAGGCGCGGCGCGGCGTGCGTTCTGGCACGTGTTCCGATCAACGCTGGGCTCGGCGCAGGCGGCGGGCGACGCGGACGCGGGAGCGGTGAGACGCCCGCGAGCGTTACTGCCCACACCTTGTTCCGCGCCGCATCTAGCCGACATGTACGTAATCGCGTCATTCATTAGTTACCAACGTATAAAGGAGCTCGATGGCGCGGGTGGTTAGCGCGTTCGTCTGCGATCGTTCAAGTTAAGCAACTTTCGCAATGGTCGGTCATTAGATGGGTGATCTCCTATCTCGAGTTCCTGCGTGCTTCGGAAGGCACGTTAAGCCGTTGGTCCTGGCTGCATCTGCAGATCGCCAATCCGCACTAGGCCCGCGTGGTGGGTCATAGCCCAATCGGCCCAAAACCTGTGCCCCAGCTGTGGGGAAATTAATAGGCTGATGATGATGATGATGTATAGAGGTGCGTGCGTTGTGGCACGTGTTCCACTCGACATGGGAAACTTTTGCACCAGAAAGTAGAAGAAAATCCGGTCGTTTATCATCGTTATTGTGCCTAATAATGTCTCCAAATTAACTGGGACACGGGCCTTCTCTATAGACTCCAAGAACGATTCATACTCATTACATAAACTTTCAAGATTTTGGTGTTAACGCCTGCTCACACAGTCAGTACTAGGAACTTAAAAGGCCTTCCGAACTACAGAAAACTTAGTGCCACTTAAGAAAACTTTGGTCACCAATCCTTTGAACGTCGTGCCGTCGTTACTACTACTGGCTACTGCGTCTACTTGCTTTACTTCCATATTTGCATACTAAAACGCGATACCACTGAATTTGCCACCGAGTTTATGCACTTTTTGCTGTATAATTCTTCTTTTTAAATCCTTATAGGATATGCAAGTGCCAAGGATGAATGTCCTTTGTCTGTAATACTAGATGTATCTGATATGCGATGGCGTAGTATATATAACATTTAGACAACATCAGGCAAAAATATTCTGCTGGTATTCGTTGTACATGATCTTCATCAAAAAGAATTTTAAACTTCAGTGTAGGAACAAAATTAGCTAAAAAAAGTTTGCTTTATTTTATTTATTTTGAAGTGAAACTTCTTTATGCACGCTTGACTTGGGGGTAAGCTAGCGAATGCATTACGCGTTCCGAAAAGTGTGTTCGGGCGAGGCGAACGGATGTTGAGTGGGGGATATAAGCAAGAGAATGCAGTGCGCGCGCACATTTTCTTTCTCGCTTTCTCTTATATCTAGTAATTGAAATATGTATATGTACATATATACATACAGATGGAGCTAAAGAAGTTTCACTCTAGTCTTGTGGTCATAAGCACACTCTTTTTTTTCTGAAGCATACTTAAACTTATTTCGTTATTAGTATCAGATGAATTGCTACAAACACGCCTACCGCTGCCATGCTTATTTAAAAAAAGTTAAAAAATGCCGTTTGTCGTTACAATGTTGAAAAAGCTATGATATTAAAAAATATATATAAATTATCATTTCTGGCAAGTGCTTCAAATCGAAAACCATTGGGTTTCATTTCTAAAAGTATAAATTTTGTTCAGCTCTATCTCTTCCCCTTCTAGCTGAAGTGTGCAGTAAATAAATAATATAACAGGAAGAGTATCGAGATAAAAGGATGTTTTATAAGATCTCATTTTTTGTCTATTCACACTTTACTAGCTATATTTTGCCTGCATTCCATATTAACTCGTTCCATTGTACATTGCAGCTGGTTTGACGAGGAAGGGAAACCGCATCACACAGTGCTGGCTATAGAAATCGATGTAGAGTAAGCATAAACTTTTTATTTTATTTGTTAAAATCGTGAGTGGTATGTCTTTCAATACTTTCAGTACGTGAATTTTAGGTTCACAGCAGACATCGTATATAGGTATAATGCAAATTGACGTTTCTGTTTGCGTTTTACGTTTCTATCGTGTGGTTCAGTTATATGGAAGGTTATCTTATAAAGAAAACTTGCATATTTTTTATTATTTTTGGTGTATAGTTCAGTTGTAAGTATTTAAAATTTAATGCATACCTAATACAATTGTTTCGAATTGTCAAATATTTTTCACCCTACCTTCCATTTGTTAAAGACATACCTGTACATGAAAAGCGACAAATGTTTCTAAAAAATAAATTAATAGCAAAGTCAATTACAAACATATTATGTCCGTAACCTGTAGTCTTAACTCTATTAGTACGTGATTCATTCATAATATATTTCATTACCCAAGCATTTTTTCCTGTAATACGCTTTTTTTTATAAATGTATGTGATAACACTTCTCAGCATAGACCTAAAACTATCGTTTTTGTCTTCATCCGCAGGGGTTCGGAGGCAGAAAACGACCGTTTGCTAGCGTTTTTAATTTATCTAAAATCCCATGTGGTGTTCATAGACGACAACCCGCCAAGTTTAGAAGAGTAATTAATGGTCCAACTGATTTACGTATGGGAGAACTCATAACTACCACTAATACTTGTATTTATAAACTAGTAATTACTAGTTGCTAAGTAATTACTTGTTGCTAAGTAACCAAGTCATTACTTGAGCCTAGAATTCTTCAACAGTCATATACGTTACTTAAGCAAATGCTTAAGTGGGGGTTGAATTATTAACGTTATTACGGAAGTTTTATTTACAACTTCTAAAATGATGAAATAAAATGAATGAATGAAAGTAAATTGTCGATACTTTTCCATGATTTCAGATTACAATAATAAAAACACAAAACATATGGTTACTTACCAATGGAAATGGCGACTATTACTTCATTAAGAATTCATATTTTTGACAATTCTTCTTTCATCAATTTCTTATCTATGTTAATGAAAAAATGTTGCTCAAGTAATTACTTCAACAAAAGTAATAGTTTTACTTGTTTATAAAAAAGGCGGTAAGAGCGTACGCATGTAAATAGTTAAGAATACCCTTGTGATGTTATGAATCTGCATAATGTAGTTTAGTACCAATTACTGGTCACTATGAGGCTTAAAGTATAACGAAATGAGCTTAGCAGTGGGTAATATGTTAATATAATTATATCTATGTAACGTTGAACAATTTTAAATTTGAACAGCAAGTTAAATTAATAATAAAACAATGAAACAAATTTAATACTTGAAAGAAAAATGCTCTTAAATGTCGCTGTAAGCGTTAAATGAGGTTTATTATGTGAATGAACAATGTTGACGTTTTCTTTTTATTATGCAGATTTATTATATGACTGTATAAAAAACTATGTAAGTCTTCTAGTATCATAAAAAGTGTTTACACTATAATCGACCCAAACAGTTTTTCTCTTCGCGTGTTGGAACACAAGCCGAATAGTGAAGTTCGCATTCTTATTTTAATGAACTGATAAAATGTAATGGAATTGCTGCCCCTACCAAGCTTTTAGCTGTACGTTAAGAGACACGAATTCTTTGTTTTTTGGAATATACGATAGTAGGTCATACCAATGTATTATCTATTGTCAAATTATTGTTGGTCAGATTAGAATGTCATATTGATGTGACCAATAAGAATTGTCTGAAATGATTCCCTAAAGTGCTTTTGATAAAGTATTTGATTGTATTCTGGTTTAATTAAACTTAATTAACGATATTTTAGTTACAATATCGTAAGTGCGTTTTTGGTTTAAGTTATTCAAGTTTTTTTCACTTACACGGGGCCTTTGGGCCTTAGGTAATCGGAAACAATAAAGACCTCATTGTGTCTTTATTGTTCTATTGACAATAATAGAAAAGTTTATATTGATCCGACTGGGAATCGATCCTGGAACCTCGACCTTTCTTGCACGACTGCTAAAATATGATCTATCCATATAACTGTGCATATAATTGTTAAATACTATGCATTTTGTGCAGGAAAACGAATAGCGTAAAGATATCTGTGAATATTTTGATACAGTATGGTATCAGAGTGTGTTTATGGAATTAAACGACTTTTCCAAAGCCTACTTTGGATTATGTTCTATTTTTCAGTTCTTTCCTGTTTGTTTCCGCTCACTAACTCGAACAGGCCCCGCTTGGGGTTGTTTTAACCCATATTAGTCATATGACTGTCCCACTCAAGTGATTCTTATTCGTTATATAGATATTATTACACTCTGACCACCGATAATAAAGTTATGTTTTGAATATTTTAAGAAGTCTAAATTAATACTATAATTATTGTGTACATATTTGAATAGAACCGTGATCTTACTTGATGACTGTTATACTTATAACGTTTAAAGGGGTGCCAGCAGGCATCGTAGGTGACCTGAGAGGTGAACCCCACCTGAGTTTTTTCTTCTTTTTATTTAACAACGTCACGAATTTCACATTTCGGACTGTTCCCGGATAAGGAGTGATTACACTTACCGATGCAGAGACCGTTTGTTCTGATTACAGCGTTTTAGTTAATCCAAAAAAAAAAACCAGAAATATTGTGTTCGCCTTATTTAAACATTCGAAAGAAGTTAAACGACACCACTTCATGGAATATTGACCTAATTAGTCTTTACATCAAAATTACCACAGAATTATGTTGCCACCTGTTTTTGTAAACTATTTGCGTAAAGTTAAGTATTGGTGACACTGTAGCGACATTTGCATGTAAATAGGATGCTATAGAGGGCATTAGCACAGCTTTTGTCTCATTGACTCGTGTAGTAATAGGTCAATATTCTATTATTGAGAGTGCAACCAGCCGGCTATTAAATTTACATTATGTTAATTTTCCGGACACATTTAATTTCGATTGCAGTCATACGAAATTCGATTCATTTTCGATGCTAACCAAATAACACCAGATATGAAGATTAAATTCAAGTTTTGCAATTAAATATGACTGAGATGATTTCATGGTGTAGCGGCAAACTTCTGGGGCAAAACCACAGACAAATAAAGTTGCGCAGTAGACGTTTTTGTATGTAAAATTGCGACTGTGCAGGCTTCCTTGTCTATGGTTGTCGCTCAAGAAGTAAAGTAAGTGTATAGCAAGCTACTCCGAATCCGAAAGTGTAAACGTCCGATTGGTTTATTAAGATAATTATCGGTAAATGTGGTCACTACTCAATAGGTTTTAATCTACGTAAAATAAGGGACACAACAAGGTTGTCTTAATAAGTTAGAATGCAAGTAATCATTATGTAACGTCGATATTTATGTAACAGTCTAAGCGGTATTGATTATATTATCACCTCTCCACCACGCTTTAGTAGTTTTAAACAGTCTATTATTAAAATTATTTTTGTGATCTCGAATATTAGCAATGGATAAGATTTATGTTGTACATTTTCTTTTTTGTTTTTATGGTGCAGTTTGTAAATATAGCTTGGCAATGTAGCAATATTAAGTATTATTATTTTAGTCATACAATCTTCACACTGTTCAGTTTTTCATAAGAAATAACTAAAGAAGAGTATAAACTAAAGCGTTGCCTTGAAAAATGTGATTTAACATGTTCACGTGCTAACGTGTATGCGTGGCCGATAATTCGCCCTACAGACTACGCAAAATCATTGGCAAAATTTTACGTCAACTTCAATACAGATAGTAAATATATTCCAAAACCACATAGTTACATTACCTATTCTGGATATGTAAATATATAATTTAAACGATATGTAAAGATCAAACATGGAAAATAATTCGGAGCGCATTTGTAGTTGGGCAATTTTGCGTAATTGCATATAATTGGGGCAAACAATGAATGGATGATCGGCCATCCTTTCTGGTTTCTGTTTAAGTACAATTATTAATTTAAAAGAGTTTTATTAAAACTCTATAAAGGAGATTGCTCAAATTGGCCCAAATGTACAAAAAATATTGACATATACGGTAATTCTTGGCTTAATTTAAACTTTATTTTACAGTCATTAGATTTTAACGGATACCTTTGTATAATATATTGATTTTAAAAAGGACTTTTAATTTTACCGGTTTGGAAAACATACGAATCATTTTTAATGGCTATGGGTGTCAGCCAAAGACTGATCGAAGTTGTTTATATAACATCAAAACAAATCTATTTTGTAAAGATCGATATAATAAAACTTTATTTTTATTACACTATGGTATTAATATCCACAAATATATTATCATTTTCACTACATGCAAAGACTAAGCTAAGACAATTATTATAGATGGTAGGTGACATCATAAAGTTGCCATATATTTTTCGCCAAACACCTCCATAAACACATTATAAGGTGTAATACACTAAAAATCTAAAATATAGTTATAAAATAAATATAACAAAATATAATGAAGCTACTGAAGATATGGCTGTATAACCTAAATCTCTTTCTTTGGTTAACGAGAGTTTAAAAATTCCCTCTAGTCTGTGGCTCATTCACAATCATCACACAGTTTCTGCCACATAGTACCTTATTATAACCGGAAATGCATAGATAATACCTGATTTTAAAAGTTACTCTTGGGCATTAACTTTAAAAACAGGCAACTATATGTTAATCCACATGCTCTATATACCTGAATATAATACATAATTTCGGTACTTGGCTGGTTTTCCCTAGTTTACTATATAACCTATTTGTTTTTTATTATTTTAATACCGATGTACCTATTTGCAAACATAACCTCAAAATCATTCAGTGTATATGGTTTATAGAAGTTCTCAGGGGTGTCCGTCAATAATATTCGTTTCTACAGCAATTTATATATAATTTCGAATCTAGGAAACAATTTTTCATGATTATTGGTCTTTAGGCCAAATATGTATGGAAGCTGAGCAATCTCCTTTATTACTTTGTGACAAGCCCACACACCAAATGTAACACGCCATAACGAAAGTAACCAAAATGTTGATGTTACAATATTAATAAGACTTAAGTAAATAGACTATACCTACATAGTTCGGCTCGTGGAAGGGTGTAAAGATAAACTTTATCTATTACAAAAAGTTATATGCTTATGTAATTGATAGTTTGGTAAATTATATGCACTTTAGTCGGTTAGCACGGCATCTTAGATGATTTACTTCAAAAAATAATGTGTTTTGTTGTGAATTAGAATGAATGATAGTATTATTCATTCGAATTGAATAATTTATAACAGTATTATGATTTTAACCAACAGTAACATAATGCTTGTAAGTTCCATATTGCCTGTGAATTATTTAGTGCGAGTGAGTCATATTGAATTTGATTATTATTATAAATTATTATTTGCCAAGCTATATTATAATTAGTATTATTGAATGACTATTATAAAAATATTTAAAATACCTGACATTTGTTTTTAGGTTATTTCTCGGGAGTTTTTTTTTGCAACATACAAAATTTATTTATTAATAAAGTAATTTAAATAGCCAAAGGCCAGCAATTTTTTTTCTGATATGAAAAGAGTTGGTTTTGATAATTGATTTTCGTTTTGTCCCATTACAGGTATAACCAGAGTAAGCACACTATACAGAAACAACATGTATTGTATATATTCATTTGTACTTTTACTGGTTCCGTACCCAAAGGGTAACAACTGCTGTCAAACATCGGACTTCTAATGCCTTCTCTGATGGGGCAAAGGCCTTCCTTATGGATAAAATAATTCATTTTAATTTCATCGAATTCTCAATTTTAATTTTAATGTCAAAATAGGCTCATCTAGACCTTTATTAAAGTGCATAATTAAAGCAGTTCTTTATATTTTTAAGTGCAATGTAGTCGCCTGGTTTAAAACTTTTTGCCTGTAAGGGGATAATAAAAATAGGAGATCTAATAATGCCGCATTAAAAATATTTTTTATAATAATGCTGATATGTTTATTATTATTTCCAGCCTTAAAATTACAAAGGAATTGGGCAATATAGTTTGATTGAATATTTTGGGCCTTTTAAATCTGAAGTAATAGTACCTATATAGTATATATAGGTACCATCATCTCAATTATTTTTAATAATTTGATATGAATTTTGTGTTGTTTAGTGTAGCTTCGCCTACATGTCTACATTTTATTTTAGCACCATTACAATTTTATTTATGTACCATTTTAATCTGCTGCATATATTATTTCCTGTAATTCTGAAATAGGGAATATGTATGATTTCTTCATGATTAAGTAGTTTTCATCCCCTTAATATAGTTTAAAAATATTTAACGTCGAAAAATAGTATAAATGTTAAAAATAGCCACCTTGTACGGGCATTTAAACGCTCGCTTTTGCGTCAGGTGTGACGTCATAATTCATATCAACAAAATAAACAAGTCAACAGCTGCTGCATTGTTATATTAGACTTTAGGTGCGTGCGCATTACATACTCGCACTAGGTCTCGTTCATAATACTGTGAACATGGTGCTTGTTTGTTGTTATGTATTTCTATGTCACAACCGCCCTCGTCGTTTCAAATATTTGAATTTCCCACAGGTATTTGGCACTTTCCTATAATTAATTTCTTGCTCAAAACTTCTATATCTTTTTAACTAAAATTCAATAGTAATAAAGTTTATTAAAAAAAAACTATTTGAATTACATGCATATTCCCTATTGTTTAAAAGTGTTTAAAATCAGGTTTGTAGTCAAATTGAATTAATAAATAGATCTGTATTATGACACAATACAACTTATTTATTGAATTTATTCTTTGTTTCATTTTTTGCTACACGATAAGATCTTGTGTAAAATAATAACGGTAATATATATTTTTACGTCGTTATGTAGACACTCCAATGATTAGATAAGTTGGCTTTTTAAGAGCCTGATGGTTATTATCAACGATATTAAATACCCTAGATACACCACGTGCGTTCAAAATGTGTCCCTATCAAAAAGTGCTTGAACACTACTCGACCACTTCTTGGTTCACAGTCACACGCAGACCTTTGTAAAGTCAACATGCCGCTGAGCTCCGTGAAAAAATGCGAAATGAATACTTATAGTATGAAAAATGTAGTTTTTCGACAGATATCTCATCAATGTTTGTTAATTTAACGCATTTGAAGCAAATCTTGTTTGAATACTTAATATAACCTGGTTTAATAGAAAATATTTGTGATATTCAAATGCATGGTCGGTAATATAGCCGTCTCTTTTCCTCGCGGTCCTCCAGCTGTATTGCTAACAGCGCATTCAGAATTGCGCGTAGAGAAAAATGAAATAAGGTCTACTCGTATATTCTTCCGCATATAGCAATAAGTCTTAAAATTTTACGAGTTTACATCTCGGACTGTCTTAACTCTTTGACGCATGTGCTTTGATTAAGACTTATATAGTGTGCTTTAAAGGTGATTTTCAATGTTTAAATAATGACTTATATTGTTTAGACTATGCGATTATCTTACGGAGCTTCGTGGATCGTCCAATGTACCTTTTGGACAGGTTTCGGGCATGATTTTCTTCGTATTGGTGTATCTAGGGTATTTAATATCGTTGGTTATTATGCACTCGTTAATAAAGCTAGGCGATTTCTATAGTCAAAGTGAAATATTACAGAAGAGCAGCGTTCTGCATTAGCCATAGGTTTTGGTTGTCGATTTTATAAACATGTTAAAGTAGGATGTTACTGTTTGTCCAAAATACGGCCTTCAATCTCATAATATAATCGACAATAATTAAATCTCGTCTCGTTTGTGGGAGTTGTATGATTGGTTAACATTGTCTAGTAGGTACAGTTGTTATAATACATACTTACATATAAAATGTGAAAAATGTTTTACTGCTTAATGGCAGGTAAAAGTAAACTGGCTTAATTTTTTTAAAATTGATCCTTGTCCAATAGGACAAGGATCATTTAATATTAGTCGCAGGCTGCACCGGGAGCAATACCAAGTAGCTGAGACATAGAGTTGAGTGAACGTTCATAACCAACCGCAAAGTAATACTTGGCAGATAAGTGTGAGAGAGATCGTGTGACCAAATAGTTCGTATCTATACGAACTGTTCACGTGATCTGTTTCACACGATCCTCTCTCTCGTTGGCTACTCCATCGCTTTCTCTAATTTCCACACTGGCTAAGCGCCAGCCACCTGATAGATAAAGAAATAGGTATTTCTAGGTTTCTTTTTAATTTTTGATTTTTTTCTTTCTTCCTGCTGTTTGACGCTATATTTGTTTTGATGACTACTAGCGCCGTAGTGGGAAAAAAATATAATCACCTGACTGATTTTATTTCCGCTCTGTTCAGTGACGCTTCTTCAATCAACTTTCAGCCTAGTCATTCAATGAACGGGCTAGTCATTCAATCAAATAGCAGATACAATCAAATTGTTATGCAAATCGATGCAGGATGAAAAAATTATTGCCATTTTTGGGTTTCCTTTTCTGCAGCAGGTTTTATTCATGAATATGTGACCCGTGAATGTAGTCACCATTACTGCCATGAACTCACGACGTGAATTCACGCCATTATATAATTTAACGGCAATAGTGTGGAGCGGACATAATTTTAGTGATATTTATTTATTTAATTGCACATGTACAGTATATATAGGATCTTAAAATTATTTTAGCATGGTACATGATGTTTCAGTTTCAAACAAGTTAGTGAGCTTTCCGTGACAGTTTCACTTATCATTCATAAATTCATTTACCGAATAGTATGCTATTCTTGATAATTCTTATTCTTGATAAGATGTTGTTTGAGTTTCATTTTAAATGTATTTATGTTGCTTTCTCTTTTAATTGCTATCGGAATTTTATTATATATTAGAATTGAACGGTATAGAGGACTTTTTTGAACATTTCTAGTTTTAGCACTGGTAATACTAAATCAAATTTATATCGCGGATTTTTATTGAATGTAAAATATGTTGGTTGTTTGCGAACAAACAATGCTATTCCATTATATACAGTGAAGGAAGGGTTAACAATTTCTCTTTAATGAAATGTGGTTTATAACTTACTTGCTGTCTGATATTGACGATAATACGGAGACTTTTTTTTGAAGGACAAAAAGGTCGTGAACTTCCGTACTATGCCCCCATAATATTATTCCATAGCGCAACCATGCGTATGTATATGCGTAGTACCTACGCAGACAAGGCGCATTTTGCATTCGTATTGGCCTTAAAAACGCTAAGCGCGAAAATAAATTGTGAAACCTTTTTCTTTATTTTATCTATATGAGGTTTCCAGTTCAGATGTGAGTCGATGGTTATGCCTAACAATTGAATATCGGTTACTTCTTCAATATTTTGGGAAATCCTAACTTTGTTTAAATCAACTGGTTGCTTTTGGTATGGATGAAATTGAATTAGTTTAGTATTATTTTTGTTTACTTCTAAATTATGCGAGTTGAGCCATTTTTGTAATGTTGCCAGTGTGGAATCTATAATTGGATTACAGTTAAGGATTTTGGGACATTTGAAAAGGACTGAGACATCAACAGCAAAAAGAATACATTATGTGTTCGTTGTTTTTGCTAAGTCGTTAATATATATCAGGATATGTTAATTTGATGCAAGTGTCGCTCAATAATTTCTCTGTCTATGAGCTAAGATAAGCGAAATGGGTTTATACAGGCAACGCATATGAAAATTCATTGTTTCATAGGTCCTAAATAGTTTTCCGTATAGCCCTAGCTTAGGTGCTTTCATGTAATTTTAAAGATCAGTAACTTCAAGGTTAGTAAAAGACACATTTGATAAAAAGATTTTATATTGGTGTTTCAATGATTTACAACAATATGATTGTATCCAAAATTATTATTATACTTAACTAGATGCTTACGCTAAAATTAAATTATCACTGTCTCTTTCATAGTCACGTAGAGTGCTATTTGATACACAGTGTATATAAATATATTTTATAATGGGTACAGCATAAATTAAATAAATTCGTCAGTTGACCTTTAACGGGTAGAGTCCACCTTTAACAGGCACAGAAATGGCGTCGAAACAATTGTTGTACTTTCTAATGTTTACGCCAAGTTAAGCACGCATTGCACATTCTGCTTGAATGTGCAATGCAGCACTCAAAGGGATAAAACTTCAGAACTTTTACGTTATAAACTCATCATACCTACTTACAAATATAGTCAAAGTTCACAACAGTAGGTAGGTACCTCAGCAAAGAATCGCCTCATCGAAATATCAAAAATCACCCTCTTTTCTGTAAGTCAATATTTATTGTTTCAGATTAACTTAATTCTTAGAAGCGCCTGCTCTGAACTTTGACTATTACTGAATTATAATTACACATTTTGTATAATTTTTTACGTTTTATGAATTATTTGGTGACATGTAGGTATGACATGAAATAAAAGGTAGGTATAAATCATTGTTAAAAGCTTTGCACAACGGGAGAGGCGCGGCGAATATACTACCCGCAGCGACTCTGGCCGCTTGTGTATTCTTCCATGTTTGCCATGAAAATTTTCAACTTATCATATAGGAATAAAGGTTTAAATTAAATTGCTAACTTTTCAGTATCTTCATCGCGCCTCTTCCGGTGTGCGCTGAGCCTTAGACGTCCTCACCATCCTCATTGTGCCTTTTATTAACCGATCGCGTTCGTCTATAACGTGATTAATCAAACGAATTGTCAAATAAAGAACTACACAATTATTGTGAATGCATTGTGATTTTGTGATTGTTGCGTATAAAACTATCTAAAGTAACACAATTCATCTAACTCTATCTACAAGTTAACATCGAAATACCTGGTACACCTAAACATCCAACATTCACGGATTTCTTACTTTATTAAACGATTAATACTTGTCGTACAATCTTACATGCCAATAAATATTCTATGCTGTTGGTATAAGAGTCAATTCTCCAGACACAGACGCACAATTATCAAGTTACTATACCACCACACACAGGTATAAAAATTCCCTTTAGTGAGTGTGGTAGTTTAAATATTATAGAAGTCTAAAATTACATTGTAGGTACTCTGTCACTATTGTTTCTGGTATGTAGTTTTATTTTAAAAACTGATAAATTACAAAAGTAAGATATTGTGTTTAGTATTCATATATTAGCCATTAATTCCCAATCTTCTCGAGACCCAAAAATTAAGATGTGTAGTTAAGAACAACTAGGTATTTACATAGTTTGTAATGACAAATTTACAACACTTTAAAATATCTCTAAGTACTGGGATATCGGGGATAGTACTTAGAGATCAATTTCAGAGTGTTATCGATTCCTTATAAATTATTTTAAATAAGTCACTGCCCTTTTTGCTTACCGGTTCAACATTTGTGACCTTTTTTTAGTATTACCATCCAACTCAAATCAAATATGAGGCTTTAAGCCATACCTAGGCTTACAAGAACTAACAGTTAGACCAATATGTAGGTGTTCTAAGGCTAACTCATGTCCAAATTCTGCAAATTTCTAATGTGCTAGGCAACTTAATAGGCAAGATTTTTGTGGACTCAATATTAAGTAATATGTGCATAAAAATCCTTGCACACAAGAGCTTACAACTTTGCCATTCATCCAGTTCTTCATACAAAATGCAATGAGTGCGGTTTTGATATAAAATATTGTGTTGTTGCAAGCTCGTCTTATAACTCAGCAACCCAAAAGCACGTTAGAAGAAGCGCGGGAGAGAGCATACGTGTAAACTAGAAACATATGGCCAAGGCGAGACCTCGAACTATTAAGTATTTGATATGCTGGCGCTAATTATGACATGCTTTTGGTCCTGCCGTAATTTTTACAACCTAACTTGTGAGGACGAGTTGGGCAATAACAATACAAAGTTACTGGTAGATGCGGCTTGTGCTGAACTACCAAACTTTGCATTTGTTGGTCGGGTTCATCGGTGAACCGAGGGGGCACTGGAAGTCAGCGGCGAACTCCTCCATGTTGGACATGGGCCCGATCACGCGGAATCGACCTGGTGCGTGGAATCCTGTCGTGATGCGGAGTTTGATCGCTTCATTTCGATACACGGCACACCAGGTGTTGGCAGCACTTAACCAAAAAAGCTGTAAATAACAAATCATTTGAAAATTTCTCGTTTAATACATATATATATATATATATATATAATATATTACAAGATCTCGGGCTCGCCTGGATTTAATTATTTTCTTATGGAAATATAATTAAAATATGGATAATCGAATAGTATTAGTGTGTACAATGAGCGTATACTCGCTAGAGGCCAACTCTCAGGTATCAGGTGGCATCCATATTTTTTTTTACATCAGAAAATAAATAAGATCTGGCAGGCCTGGGATCATACTCTTATATAAGAGAAAACATCTTTACATATTTTTATCGAAAACTTTGGCCAGAAAGCTTGCATAATTTTTACAGGCTTCCCTAAAAAGTTGTACGTTTTACAGTACCTAGATTAGATATATAAATGTAGGCCGATATTATGCTAAAAGCTAAAACTACGTCTTTTCAATACTGCCTAGTCCCTTTTACTCTTCCAGATTAAGGACGCAATGGTGTCGATTCTGGCATAATTCTCTAAACCTAAAATTAAACTCCACAACAGTGTATCCTTGTCATTCTCTATAAAAAAATAAAAAGATACCTACACTGTCGTCAAATTTGGGTTTAGGTTAAGAGAATCATGCCAGTGGGCCAATCGCCTAACCAGATTGCTTTGGAAAACGCTATCGCTTACGATTTCATTTTGTTATTTCTAACCGCCGAAATACCTCACGCTCATTTTCTTTAACATTGTTATTACCAATGCAAAAGAAAAAAAAGAGCGCGAGGCATTTGAAAACCTCAGGGGGCTAGAAATAACAAAATGAAATCGTAAGCGATAGCGTTTTCCAAAGCAATTCAGTTAGGCGATTGGCCCCCAGAATCAATACCATTATAAGAATCAAAACTACTTTCACTGCGTATTTACCTGTTTAGGAGTGTATTTCTCAAGTCCTGGCAGACGTGTCTCCTCGCCGTGGCGTTGCGTCCAAGCCTGGTAAGCGTAGTAAGCTTCCTTAATACCGCCGTTGTCAGCGATATTCTCGCCTTGTGTATTTACTCCATTCAGCTAAAAGTATTAATTAGTAAAATTTTAATAAGAAATCAATTATTAACAAACAATTGGGCCATATATTGACATGCGTACTTCTGGATCGTAACAGTTCCAGGAACAATGTCCAACACTGGAACGATATTGTTCCTCTCCGAGGTGTTTAAATAAACAGGTTTCATGATAACGAAAATAGTTTCGATATGTTTAAGAACTGTAGAAGGTGCAATCAAATAGACCTTATTCCACCAGTTCCTGATAAAGCTGCAATGTTTTTGTTTCACCATCAATTTCCTCTTTAAAATAACTGGCATATAAATTTATCTGGCAACGACAACGTCGCTTATTTGTATTGAGACACCACGACACAAAGTAGCAGCAAGCAATTTACTTACCTACCTACCAGATTTTTCTATTCATGTCTCTAATTAAAGTAAAACAAACGTTATGTTCTAAAGCACGTAAGTACCTTCATGTTAACTTCTTTGACTGTGTAGTTAGAGTACTGGTCAATAATGCATTTGGCTTTTTCCAGATATTTGTGCTTCGTCGACTCTTGCCACCAATCAACGAGATTGCCATTTTTGTCGAATTGCCGTCCCTGTAAGTAATAATAATCTCTTAATAATATGAAAATAGCAAGTAATTATATAGTTAATAGTGTTCCAAATAATAAGTCATGAATTTAAGGGTAACCGACTTCAAAGAAAAAGGCGGAGGTAGGTATTCGTCGTGCATTTGTAATATTTTACCTGATCGTCGAAGCCGTGTGTGATCTCGTGTCCAATAACAAAACCTATGGCACCGTAGTTCATGTAAGCAGGACGCTTAGCAGAGAAGAAAGCTCCTTGGAGGATACCGGCGGGGAATTCTGGAACAAATTACGTGACTGAATCATCATTCAAAAAACAACCTGACCGAAATCTTGATGATTTCTTTAAGGTTTTCAAGAGTCCTTTACAATTGATAAATAAAACTAAGATTTTACTGTTTGAAAACAATAGTTGCATATAATATCCATTAATAACTATGTATAAGTTTCAATACGCTCTCAATAAGTCAACAAGCCTGGCAGGTGAATCACAAAATTGAACCTGATACTGCCTCAAAACTACACTCTCAGACACATCTATCGGCCCATTTAGTGTTATAAGTTTCAGCGTTCTGTAGCAAAAATATAATAAAGTTAGATTGAGCAATATATTTTAAAAACACACACCGAAAAGATGTTACTAAATCTGCTTCAAAATTGTGTAAATTTTTTTGCTCAATGTAACATTTATTTTTAGCTAGGACCGTCAACCATATAGATCAAAACTTAAAATGCTAGGTGGGCCGACAGATGTGTCCGGGGGTATATAATTTTTCTATGTACACTTACGGATGCTGTTCTCAATGGACGAGTAGAAAGCGTTGACGATAGCAGGACGGCCATGGGTGACCCAGTCTGTCTTGTTCACCGGCTCGCGAAGTTTGCCGAACAGATACTCCGTTCCGAACAACGTCAGGTTCAATACCGACTCCATCAGCTTGTCTGATGACATCTCCAACTGCAGAGGGGTGATACAAATAGTTATAACTACAGTGCTGAGTGAATTTGTGCCTTAGTGATACCTATTACTTAATAAAATGGTTTGTTGTTACAAAGGTTGGTTTGGTTGGCATAACATCAATGAAAATGGAGACTCGGTTATTTATTGTTGTATTGCACTCCTTTCTTAGTATCATAATCATCATCAGCTTTTACGTCCCCACTGCTGAAGCACGGCCTGTGCTATATAGGGAGATGACCCAACACGCGGGCCCAGTGCTTATAGGTGTGTGATAACAACTAGAAATGCAGCCGGGATCAACGGATTATAGACCGAACGCACTAAGTACTTCCGCTATCGAGATCCTCATCTTTATATATATAATTCTTCTGTGAGTGTGTATGTCACTGAACTTCTCTTAAACGACTGGACCGATTTTGATGAAATTTTTTGTGAGTGTTCAAGGGGATCTGAGAATGGTTTAGATTCACAATTTTGTCCGCTGGACAATGTTTTTTTAATTAAATTTTTTTATGGCGGTACGAAGTTCGCTGGGTCAGCTAGTATTTATAGATTTTTTTAACCACCACTCACTTATTAGCCTATCCCCAAAGTTAGCATTGTAAGGCTTGTATTATAAGATACTAGGGTAACTGAAAGAATGCTTTAATATATTTTTTTTTGTAAATTGTATATTATTTAAGTACTTAGTTATTTCTGGTTTTTAAGTTTGTAGACTTTAAGCAGTTTTAAGCTTTGAAATTTTAAATATTTCTATGTAAATATATATAAATTAATAAAATTCCTAATAAGTATATTTATATAGAAATACATTTAAACATCCATGGTTTAAGTAAAAATGATCGTATTTATTACACAAACTTTTGCCCCGCCGGTATTCGAACCCGGGACCTCTGAGTAGGCAACCTCTGACATACCACTCGGCCACGGAGGTTCATCATCATCAGCCTATTAATGTCCCCACTGCTGGGGCACAGGCCTTCCCTATGGATGGAATAGGGAGATTGGGCCATGACCCACCACGCGGGCCCAGTGCGGATTGGCGGGTGCTAACGACTGCAGGTGCAGCCGAGACCAACGGCTTAACGTGCCTTCCGAAGAACGGAGGAACTCGAGATAGAAGATTTTTGGTCACCCACCCAATGACCGACCATTGCGAAAGTTGCTTAACTTCAACAACCGCAGCCACGGAGGTTGTCAATTAGAAATCAATAAGAGTTTTCGTGCTCACCCCAGTGTAGAACTCGGTGAGCTTGTTGTTGTCCAGCATCTCGCTTGGGTAGGCGATGTGCGACGACATCTCGTGTGCCTTCTCTAACGCAGCTTGTCTGGTCTTCTCGTCCATCCATTCGACCTCGGTCAAAGTCTTGCGAAACTGTTGCCTGTTAATAATGTTCATGGCAAAACTTAGGATAGCACTTACACGGGGATGAGAACTTCAACACCTATGATGATGCCTTTCAATTTGTCATTTGAAAGATTAAAATGTAAATCAACAACCACAATTATATATTAAAATGTAAATTTTAGAAATTTCATATTAATTTTATTTCAATTTGCTGTAAGTATATGTGTAACTAGCTAAAGTTCTAATGAAGTCATTTAATAAATACCTAACTATGTAGATCAAGAAGATAAAGTAGTTTAAAATCTCGAAATTTACATGAAATTAATACCAATTTATTTGTTCGTTAACAAATACATATAAACAACAGTTAGCAATAACAATTAATTAGTAGCGATTATAAATTGTCAATTAACCCAAGTCTTATCGCCTCGTATTAAAGTGTTACTAAAACTCTGATATAAATTGCTGATGTTGATTTACCTACTTTGTTATTAAAAAAACCTTATACAATCTATCCACTTACCTGATATCGTTCACCATCTCCAATGCGTTAGCCTTTGATTTTTCATTGAAGTATTTTCTAATGTAAAGTGCCCCTACAGCAATAGACATACTGAAAACGAAAAAATCCTTGATAGTTTTAAGAGAACTGAAACTTTAAAGCAATTGAGCTTTAGGAACATGTAAGGAATAGGTATTGGATGTAGGCAATTAGGCATGTAGGAATAGCATTTGTACTCCAGTCATGGATCTTTAATATGTATTTCTATATAAATATACTCATAAATACATCAATATATGTATTGTATCCGTTACCCTAGTATTCCCATAACACAAGCCTTACAGTGATTACTTTGGGACTAGGCTAATTGGTGTGAGTGTTGGAAATATTTATCTTTATATATATAATTCTTCTGTGAGTGTGTATGTCACTGAACTTCTCTTAAACGACTGGACCGATTTTGATGAAATTTTTTGTGTGTGTTCAAGGGGATCTGAGAATGGTTTAGATTCACAATTTTGTCCGCTGGACAACCCCTATATTTTTAGGGCGGTACGAAGTTCGCTGGGTCAGCTAGTTTATTTATATAAAAAGAAGCATAGGAAAGTATAGAATATACGTAGGGAATAGGTATAAAAACAGTATACTTCCAATCGATATCAGTATTTATATCTTAAAGCCATTTCGCAGAGACGGTAGATAGGCCATTCATATTATATTCATAAAAGACAGAGCTACGGAATTTCTTATAATAGGCATATTTATCATCCACAAAATCGTGATACATTAATAAAGATACAAATAAGAAGTGATTTTTCTTGTTTATTCTGATAAATAGGATAATTGTGGAACTTGCTATGGAACGACTTTCTCATTTCCTGCTTCAGAGCACGCCTTTTAATGTCACCTTTGCTGTGACACAGGCCTTTCCCATGGATGGAAACTAGCGGCTGCAGCCCACCGTTTCAAATAAGTGATGGGTGCGCCAGCAACCCGCCACATCACGTAGTTGACTTGGGTGCGGCGTGGTGTAATCTCCAACACGATATGAAGGATGTTATTGTACGCAAATCAACTTGCGCTGGTGGTACGGCGCACTCCTTCCACCTGCTCTCGCGCTGTGTCTTCCCGGAGAGCGCGGTGCCATACGCATGCTGTCTGCACCGCAGCTCATCAATCATTGAAGAGATGGATGCGCCGGCGACCCGCCACATGCCGTAGTTGGCTTGGATGCGGCGTGGTGTATTCTCCAACAGGATATGAAGGATGTTATTGTACGCAAATTACCTGACGCTGGTGGTGTCAGCGCACTCCTTCCACCTGCTCTCGCGCTCCGTCTTCCCGGACAGCGCGGTGACGTACGCCAGCTGTCTGCGCCGTAGTTCATCGGTGAGATACGACACGGATGCGCCAGCGACGCGCCACATCACGTAGTTGGCTTGGACGCGGCGTGGGGTGTTCTCAAGCAGGATCTGAATGGTGTTATTGTATGTATAAGGGTGACAAACAAGCATAAGGCCTTGAAGCTTATGAATACTGACATTGCCTTGCCTGATTCATCGACCGCCAAGAACTTCTAAAAACCTTTATTCACTAAAGAAACAGGATAGAATCATGTTATTCGGTTGCAGTCAGTACGGTGGAGGTAATATAGAGACAAGGGTTCCAAAGTTAGCGGAAACCCGCTGTGCTTACAATTATAAATATGCAGGTGCAGTAGATTCCGATTATAGGCAACAAAATCACATATGTTGTAAAATGATGTAAGAAAATACGGAACGGCACGTGTCTCTTTTGCTAAGATCTAAATAAGAGTTTGAGTTTTGCTAGACCTCCTAATTATTCTAAAGAAGTTGGCAGAAGTTTTTGGGAATTCATAAAGAAGGACGATCTAGCATACGATATTGATATTGATCAAGTGCATTCGCCATTCTACCGCTTGATCTAATGTCTTGATTAAATAGGCTTGACCAAGCCAAACTGACTGTGTGTGGATAGATGTTGTGCAAGGACATGCCACTTGACGGAAGGATTGAATCAAGCGGCATGATGGTGAGTGGCCATCATATTTTATAAGAAACGTCATAGGCGTGCAAACGTCGTAACTGCCATCATAGCGTGCCTACTATAGTTACAAAACAAAATAATTTCACGGTAACTAAAAATATATGCATCTTTTCTGCCATATAAAACTATTCTTACCTCAAGATCGCTGATGTATTTTGGTACGCTGACGATGGTGACCTCATCAGCTCCTACTTTCACATGAGGAGCAAGGAGGTTATTGATGTATTCCAACCAGGGGACCCTACACAATTAAAAACGCATTCAAAATTATAAAAATCCACATTATTAAATTTCGATCAGCAAGTAGTAGGTACCTACCTATATAGTAACAGTACAAGCGCAAGAACAATTGATACTTGTGATTTAATAATCTGTATTTTTCAGACGTTAGAACTTACTTCGGGAATTTCTGCTGCAGTTCGGCAATAGTCATGGGGTTGTAGAGACTAGTAGCATTACGTCGTTTCTCCAATGGTAGAGAGATCTATTAGAAACGGAAAAAAATAATATACACGTAATGAAAGGTAAAAGTACAAGGTATTGCGCTGTAAAAATTACTAAAGGCCATGAAAGCGTTTCTACTTTTATGTATGTATGAGATAATCTACAGTAAGTAAGAAACTAATTATTTAAATTTCATAATTTATAAACTGGGCCACACTATTTGCAGTTTTCCTCGGTGATAGGTTAACATTTAGGATAACCAAGTTGAGGTAGGTATAACCGAAGAAAAAACCGTATATCAAGGTTCAAGTCATAATTTACATTGCTTTTATTAAAACAAACGATTAGAGTTTCGTTAATGTCGCCAATAATTGTAACACATCCATCATGTTCAGCTTCCATTGACGTTGCCCCAGTGTTATTAATGCTCGTTGTGCTTTATTATTATTCTGTAAATATTGATTGATTGCAAATTGATCGCTCTTCATGATACCATTCGATTGGTCTTTAGGTGACCAAAGAAATCAGGTCATCCGAGAGGCACACAACGGATCTTGGCCAGATCTTTAAAACAACGCAGCACCTCACAATAAAGCGTTATTCATAGCCCTCGCTCACAATGATTCATTTTACATAAAAGTCAACAATGCTCGTAAAAATTCACTTCTTTGTGGCCCCATAAAGTTGTGATTGTTATACGTGGGGCCTGATTAGGAGGGCATACAGCAGAAAGGTTGAAGAAAACATTTTTGTTTTCAAATATAGTTTATGCAAAAATTTTCGTTAATGTTCATTCAAAAACACTGAATCTTCAATTAATGACGCTCGAACCGAGTCAGATTACGTCACCAATAGGCTCCTATTGATATTGATTGTTCATTTGTATTATATTTAAATACTCACATTAGCCAGTTTCATTTCAAACTGTAAAGAGTCCTTGAGTTCTACTTCGGCGCGAGCCCTATCGGCGCCCAGAAGGGTTGCGATGTCAACCATATACTCGTAGTACGCCTGCACGAGCTTATCGGTGAAGCCTCGGTTCAGGTACTCCCTGCTGAGTCCGAGTGAGGCTTGATCGAGCTGCAGGTAAAGTTGGGAATAGTATAAACATTGCAAAAGCTATTATGAAGCTCATTGAAAATCGCTTTAGTCTCTCGCACAGCAAACAACAATTCGCTTTCGGCATATTCCCAACGTTGTTTTCAACATTTTTTACACAGATTACGTTTAATGTTGTAATGCTGAAATCAGCGTTGTTTTTTCAGAAAAACAACGCTGATTTCAGCATTACATAATTACGTACGTTTACGTAATTTATAGGTAATGTAATAGTTGATGATATAACGTGTGTTGATGAGTCGGCCGACCGTGTAGTTAGTGTCAGGGGTCTTACATCGATGATCCGTTTGGTGGAGTTCTTGACATCAACGCTGATGGAGAAGTCAAGGAAGTAGTCAACGGAGTAGCCAGCCTTGCGGAACTTGTACACGGACTGCTCCCAGGAGAAGGCGGCTTCGTTCCAGTTGTTGCCGTCCAGAACAGGCCAGCCGCCCAATCGTCGCAGCATCTCCAGAAGTGGCTGCACTCCACGAGCTTCGATAGCAGCTGTAGACAAAATGTTTAGTTTAGTGTCTCTTCCTACTAATTATACTCATAAGGCGATCGTTGTAGCTGCCCTATAATTGCATTAAAACCTAAACCTTTTATTTTTGGATCGATTTAACAACTATCATAGGAAGGTAATTTAAATGTTCATGTAACGTTTTGTTTCTTGAAAGTCACTTAATTAATCGATACCGTTAGATGTATTTGTGATTAAATTCTAAATTATTTACAATCTATTACCTAGGAATCTACATTCAAGTAATCGTAGACGATTGCATCAATTTTATACAGCAATCGATTTTTTGTTTTAATTCAAAACAGGAGTTCAACTAACCTCTTTATATATTTAATAGGATATTATGTAGCAGTAGTATATTTTTACATATTTAAGAATAATGTAAAAATCTTATTCTCATTACAATCTTTAAAGAAGAAAGTAAAAAAAAAAATGGGTGCGTGTACTTATGTAGGCGCGTGAGAAGTTATCCTTCTTTGGCATCGTTTAAAATTAGTTTTTAATTGCATGCAAATAATTAATTACAATAAATTAATAAAAAGTCTGGAAAAGGACACAGTCAATAAAGTTCAGTTTTAATTTGAAAAAATAAATAAATAATCTAAATATTCAATTAAAATCGCTACTGAATATAATTTATTAGGACATATGTGATTTGCACTTGTATGAAACTCAAACACGTATTCCGAATATACAAACTAGAAACATGTGGATAAATATTATAAATATGAATACCTATAACTGTTACTTTATTACAAAAAATAAAGATGTGGTTTTTGGTTCTACTACACCAACCACGACCAACTTCATGCTGTTAATTTTTGTGTTACAGTGATGCGCGCGCATCTTAAAATTTCACTCTCATCATTTTTTCATAACGCGCCTAAAGAAGTATAACTTCAAAAATTATTTAGCTGTTTAAAAATAAACGGTGTCCGATGTTCAATCGATTACATTCGCAATAATTCTAAAGCTACAACCTATCAACGGTAAACATCATTCTCTCATCTCCCTCATATTCATCAAATAAAAGTCGCAACTTGACCAGACAATTAAAAAAAGATTTCAAAAAAAATCTAAAGCTAAGAAAATATCAGCATCAACATTTATCCACCTTAATAATTTTAACAGTTTAGGTATCCTATGTCACTCGGCATGGTGAAAGGATTCTAACGATACCATACACATTTGAATCGGCTAAGGCGTTCAGAAGTAATGATGGAATAAAGAATTGAACATGTATACACCAGAAGATTCTACTAGAAGTTATCTAGTAGAATATTCTGGTAGTATTATATACTAGAAGGTATTAAATTTAGTTGTAACTGAACATACTTAAATACATACATGAATCCTGAAAACAATACACCGTTTTTTGGGCAGTCGTGTAAAAATAAATTAACTTCGCTGGTAACGACCATAATTTAATATCCACTATGTTCACCCAAGTCAAGTAGGGCCCAATTCAGAAACATACCAACAAGGCAACTAAGGAGTGACAATGAAAAAATAAATTACATAGAAGGTATGTCTGCATTACTTCCCAACGCACCTGTGTGCTGTGATAACATGGCAATACAAACTTACTACGACAAAATAATAAGCGCCATCACCCAAAGTCTAAAAAAAGGCGGTCAGAAATCCAAAAACTGAAGAAAGAATATGAAATATTATCAGAACGTACCATAAAATTATTACACAGAAGTAAAGAATTGCAGAAAACTAAAAATAAATCTTGTTCTATGAAAAACGAACTCCCCGCACTTTACAAATTAATTAACAAATATATAAAAACAGATTAGGCAAAATATATAGAATACACCATTGAAAGCCATCTACACCAGAAAGGAAGTGCAAAAAAGATTTGGACATATACCAGCGAAATGACATTAGCAATTTAGCAACAAAATTTTACACAAATCTATACAGCAACAAGACAAAGAATAAGTATTTAAATAACGCCTAATACCCTAATAACGCAAAAAGCAACAATATAACTATTTTAAGAAAAGAAATAGAAGTCTTAGAATCAATAAGAAGATTAAAATTGGAAAATATCCCCAGTTTAGATAATATCACCAATAAAGCACTTAAAGTAGCTAAAACGAAATTGGCCACACTTATTGCTGCACTATTTAGTATGTAATACATAGCTGTGAAACGCCTTCGTAATAAATAAATATGTATTTCCAACACTCACACCAATTAGCTTAGCCCCAAAGTAAGCACAGTCGGCTTGTGTTATTTGATACTAGGGTAACATATAGAATACTAGAATATAACTAGCGCCAGGGTGGGCTTAGAAATAAACCTTACTAAGACTAAGTCAATGACAAAGAGCTTGAAAATACCAACAAAAGTAAATAACATACCAATAGAATACGTAGTAAACTTTATATATGTTTAGGGAAGAGAACTAGTTTTGACAACAGAAACAATGAAAGAGAATTAGAAAGAAGGATGCAACTTACATGAAATAGATACTGGAATTTGAAGGAAATTTATAAAGTCAATTTACCGATAGGTGTAAAAAAGAAAATCATGAACTCATGTCTTCTGCCTTGCTTGACTTACGGATGCCAGACATGGAAATATACTACCAAAGCAAAAAATATTATAAATGCATTCCTATGAGGAATGGAGCAGCATTGTATGCTTAAAATAAGAAAAATAAATAAAATAGGCACGCTAAAATAAGGAGCATAACAAAAACTAATAATGCTTTAAGTCACGCACTGAAGCTAAAATGGAAATGGGCAGGCCATTGAGCAAGACTTCCAGATAAGAGGTGGACTGTCAGAACGACAATTTGGCGCAGCTTACAAAGGAAAAGAAGCAGAGGCAGACCATGGACACGCTGGGAAGATGAAATAAAAAAAACAGGTGGTCGATCATGGATCCAAATCGCACAGAACAGATCCAATTGAACCTCTTTGGACGAGGCCTTTACTCACTAGGGGTCCCTTCAGATTGTTATTTTCTTACCATCTAGTTTACTAACAATAGGAAAGAGAGAAAATAAAAACTTACCATATAAATAAGTATAGATAGATATAATATTGTACATAACGGGGAGTAAACAGGCTTTTTATTTATTCATTTCATATGTCCACTTTAACGACGTTACGAGTTACGACATTTGTATTACTTTGTTTGTTAGAAATTGTTACACATCTTTATTTTCAATCGGTAATCTTAGTACCTACCCACTGTCTGTTCAGCTATCAATTACGTCATTGTTGGGTAAACAGCGGAAGAAAAATCATTTAACTTTCACTCCCGTTATCGCTGGTTTTAAGTAACAACAGTTAAATAATTAGCGTGGTACTTAAGCAATTTTAAATAGCGTTGCTAAACTGACACTAGACGTCTGGGTACCTACATAATTCGAGTGGAATGGATGCAACACGTAATAATTATATGTGTACAAGTGTACAAACTAAATAATGACACTGCATATAATAAAAGATAAAGTTAAAAATAGACAATCCGTTTTGCTCTTTTGGACATGATATGTAATTGAACTTTTTTGTAGGTACTGCCTGATGTGCTATTGAACTTAAGGCCAGGTCATTATGAGCTTCAGAAACAAAGAGATGTTATATACTAATGTCTCCGATATGTGATCTGTTTATTTAAGTAAGAAAATAATTTATTTTAATACACCAAAAATAAATTTAAGACAATAAATACATAGAAGACGAAGAAATAATAACAAAATTGTTACATTGGTACTCAACTCACTTTAGACGCAATAAACCTTTGTATCTTGTAGAGAATACAAGACTATTAAAATATGAATAGATACTCTATGGTTAAAACATTAATGTCTCCACTGGTGCTCTTAGTGAACTCGCTTCTCTTTAACAAAAAATACCTAGGTACTGCGTTGCATTTTGTGCTCTGTTATCGGTCTATCGTATAGAAATAGGGCCACTTTTCTATGGCGCCAGGGGCCTGGACCGCAAGTGAGCGGGAAATCCGTGCGATAGGAAAAGGTCCTAATATGGACATATAGGGCGTGTCACTTGTGTAGCTACTTCCGCAATGATATTGACGACCCATTTTGATCGGGTTGCCTTAAATTCTGGATGCCGAAAAGGGCTTTATACCTTTCGTGTAAAAAGCTGTGCTCCTTAAACAAGAGTGGCCATCGAGGCAGAATGTCTAAAATTTTGAAAGTGACTAACCAAACAGTTTGCCTAAAGTTTACAAACCTAGATGGTTATATGAGATTAGTTTAGATATTTGTAATAATAAGGAGCAACTGGATGAATGGATCAAATTTGGCACACAGTGTATTACCTAAATTGAGAACTATAACTACATTTTATCCCGAAAATGTTAGGTTCCTGAGGAATTACCAAAAAACTAAAGTTAATGCGGCCAAAATTGCAGGCACCGCTAGTGTACTTACTATACATCTAAAAGTGTGTGTGATGGTTACTCGCAAAAACTACTGAATATACTTTTTCTTGCAGAATAATGATAGGTTCTTTTGGAATTCCCAAAAAACTAAAGTTAACGCGGGCGGCCAAAATTGCAGGCACCGCTAGTGTACACATCTAAAAGTGTGTGTGATGGTTACCTGCAAAAACTACTGAATATACTTTTTCTTGCAGAATAATGATAGGTTCTTTTGGAATTCCCAAAAAACTAAAGTTAACGCGGACGAAGTCGCGGACGGCTGTTAGCATATTATATGTACTGGCCACTGAAATTGGTATACATACATCACATTACTTATTTATCCGCGGAAAGATTTTCACACAACAAGTAATTCACGAAACAGCTATTTGCGGTTGCTCGTCGTCAGTGTTTCATAAATAAACACAATTTCCGGTCCTTCTGTATAATGATTTTCATAATTTCAGATCTGTCATTTAAAGGCTACGTCATCTACGGCTTCGTCCCCGTATGTTTTTAATTTGGTTATTAAGATTATTATCATTGTCGCGGTAAATGAAAATTGCCCCATACATCGTCGCAGTAATAAAATTGTTCCTCATTCTACATATTAGACGAGCCTGATATGTTCGCTACAATCGTTAATTTTAATATTGAACACCATTTGATTTTAAAGCCCTCTTCGGCACAGCCAAAAATAGAAATTCTCATATAAAAGTACGCCACCAAAGTCTCATGAATATCAAAGTCTTGTTTAGTGGTGTTGAAGATTGCTCAAGATTGATTTGCTTACAAATTGCTATTCAGTAAATTGATGGAATATTGCTATCATTATGGTATGGTTTAGAATATTCATGAACTTGAACATGAAAAGTATTATTGCATTTGGATACCTTGTTACCATTCAATATCTTGCATTAGAATCACGCAAAATTATGGTGTCAAATATTACCTGTTGGTTACGTATTATTATATGTATTTGTAATTTTGCTAACATCGGCGATGAAATTATTATGTAGCTAGCATCAGCAACGCTAAAGGTACCTACCCTATGCTATGATGGTTTGTGTAACAGTCACTACACACCAGCGCACGCAGTGGTGTACACTTTTAAAGATAGGTATACAAAATAAAACTGTATTAATCACAAGAAGATGACCACATCATTAAAATAATTCGAAAATGTTCTGCAGCAGCGGCGGATCGCATCTCGCCACGCGTCTCCATGTGAACTGATGCTAGGGAGAAATTGCATTTTCTATCATACCCAAGTGCAAACCTCTATTCACAGTCGATTGCCAACCATTTAAATAAATAAATTCACATTTAAAATATTATTCAAGTTGTTGCTTCAAAATAAGCATTTAAATGAGAATAAGCATTTTACTGACCATCTTATGTAAACTACTTCCTACCGTTAGATAAGTCGGTCAAAACAACAGCATGCATTAGTTGTGGTCTCATACCTGCAAGCTCTAGACATGGGGTCATTCACTTTCGTTCTATTCTGGTAACGGCTATTAGGTTGTGGTCATTTGTGGACGACGATGCCTTCACTTATTTATTATGTACGTAAATATCATAGTAGCTGGGATAAAGAAAAGTGCCTTGACTTGACACTATATCGATTACGCAACATTACATTTAGATGAAATTATTTATCTAATTACTTAAGGCTCTTGGGGTTATGGTGTCGACCAAATTACGCACCCTCTGCTCCTCTAAAATACATTAAACATTCATGCGGTCTAAACAATAAAGTTAACATACATAGTTCTACAAGTTACAACCTTTTAGAGCACAGGCATCCTCTATGCATAAAAGCAAGTATGGAGAGTGCCCACTTCTAAGCATAACCTCCCCTAAGGATTGCGAGACTATTTGGTGCAGCGCTACGCATCCAGCGCCACCTTCACTAGATCATTGTTCCACCCGGGGCCTACCGCCTATCGAGATTCTGACCACCGAAGGTTTTCGAATACCTCGCTCTTATTTTCTTTAATATTGTTCACTGTTCGACGTCCAGTGCACAGTCGTCATTCGAGTACCGCTACGTGTGCTACCCTTACCACTTCTTTAACGAAATCCTTCGAGCAATGTCGGTCTCCTATGGAGTTAAGGAACTAGGCTCAAATAATTTATTTGTCTTAATCCATTGGTGATCAGCCATTCTACCGCAAAATATACTCGTTTATAATTGCGCCACGTAACTCTGCTGTTAATCATCACCATCAGCCTGTCTCCAATGCTGGGGCAAAGGCCTTCTCTATGGATGAAATAGGGAGATTCGGCCATGACTCACCACCCGGGCCCAGTGCGGATTAGTGGGTGCTAACGACTGCAGATGCAGCCGGGACCAATGGCTTAACGTACCTTTCGAAGCACGGAGGAGCTCGAGATAGTAAATTTTTGGTCACCCATCCAATGACAGACCACTTCGAAAGTTGCTTAACTTCAACGATCGCAGCCGAACGCGCTTACCACTTGCGCCATTGAGTCTCTCATGCTATCAATGAAAAGGTGGAACTTTGTTGTAAATACTTTTGGTTAGCCACTTACTTCTGTTCATGCAGGCCTGGTACAAAGTCTTGGCGAGGACGAAAGGTCTGGGCTCGTTGGGCGTCACCGGCTCGTCGAGCAGCGCCCGGATCTGCTCCTGCAGCTGGTCGGTGATGATGGAGAAGATGTTCACCGAAGTCTTGTCATCAGGTATGCGAGTGTTCTTCACGAACGAACCGCACGCGAAGTCATAGAAGTCGTCGCAAGGATCCACTTTGTCGTCCATGTGCATGAGCAGTTTTGAAGCTGTAAAATAATGAGTATGTGCTCAGTTTTTCGCGTGTTGGAATTTTTGTGAAATCTATCAAAGATTTAAGGGTTCCATCAAAATAATGAAGATCTTTCAGCATAACTTTACAGGTTTTGTTTTGCTGCACGGAAAAAAGGACAGGTTTGCCTGTCCATTGACTATATAACTTCCTAAAAAAAGAGGTTGACTACCATTTACTAAAATAATCTCAGAGAAGATGAGCAGGGGAGATTAAATGGTCATTCTTAGATCTTTTACCAACGGCGTCTAAAAGTTATTAACTAATGTATTCCATAATATGTTTCAATTGCTAGCATGATATTTAACATATATGTAAAATGACGACGTTCGAATAAATGGTGCAAGAGCTAGCCTTGCACTTGTGCGCTTTTTGTTTGTGTCGTTACAGCTGGTTCATTAAACATTAAACAACAAAGTCAATGCTCTAGTTCATTGACACCATCGGAATTATTAGAAATTTTAATATTAACATATGTTCACCATAGAACAATAAAATGTTTACATTAAAAAATCTTTCGATTTGTAGGTTGTGATTTTTGCTATTTGCCTATATCATAAATAGTGTACATTTTTAAAGGTCAAATGACCTGATAAGGTTTTTTACTTAAGGGGCAGAAAACTACCCTGAAGGTTCAATGAAGTCCAATTCAAAACATAAGTGGAACAGAACTTTTTAAACTTCCCCGTAAAGCTTGGCTAGCTTATTTTACTCCAACAGAACACAACACTTTATATTAGTTGCTTCTGTGCGATGAAGGATAGTAAATTTTTCGAATTTGAGCCGGAAATGTTTTTAGTTTCTTCTTTTTTTTCGATTCTTCTTCAAACCGAAACTGATTAGCTACAATATGTTTTCCATTTTTTAATTTTATTATCTGTTTCTAATAGGTAAACTTACCAGTGTGTACGCATCCCGGGGAGCTGCAAATCTTCCCGTGGCCTTCCTTAGCAATGGCGGCTGGCGGCATGGGTGAAGAAAGTCTCAGTTCACTAGTCTGTGGCATGTCTAAAATGCAGACACATGCTAATGAATGCGTGAAATGATAAACAATAATGTAATCATGAACGAAAATTCTTTAACGGATCTCAGGTTAACTGTTACTGATGAAGATGACGTTTAGTATCTTCGCTAGACGGACGGTGAAAGATTAAACAGAAATAAATGGCTTTACCATTATAACCCGTTAAAAAATTTAGTCAATATACAGTGTCACATTAGCAGTGAGTTTATGTGTGAGTGATGTGTGCATGAATTTCAAAAGCAAATATGCACATGTTTGTCCGTGAACCAAGCACCTATTTTGGCACATTGATTGTTCAATATTTGTCTACACATCACTTTACAATTAAGAATTCACCATAAGTAACTACCTATTAAAAATGCCATTGATTCCATTATTATTTTATTATCGTATATAATTTTATAGAAAACCAAATAAACTTATGACAACTTTCTGAAAACTATTTTCCGTAATTATTTGATTTATAAATAATAAGTTTTGCTGATTTATAACTTCTACGTTCCTTTATAAACCAGAGTTATTTACTTTGGCTAATATTGTTTTGATATACATTTTAATATGCCTATCTAATTTAAAAAAAGCCGGTGAAGTGAGAGTTCAACTCGCGTGGAAAGGGTAAAGCGGGATAAACTTCTTATAGGTTTTCCTGTAATCTTCAAACAAAGAGCTACATTCCTTTTTTTTAATTTTTAGTCGCAGTAATTTCGGAGATTTGGCGTGTGCGACAAGTAAATTGTCATCTATTTCCTTAAATAATTTAATAAATATATGTTTAAAATCTATAAATTGAGCCCTTTAATTTGATAAATGTATAACATGTTACAGTTAGTTAAATTTTATTTATAATTGTCTAATTTACCCCCTCATATTCCGATTTTATTTATTTGCATATATGTACCAAATTTCAACTTGATCGATCAAGTAGATTTCAAACAAATCAACCGTGACAGACAGAAAGACCACCGAGTGATCCTAGGCTTCGTTTTTGCCGATTGGGGAACGAAACCCTAAAAATATTATTGTACGTTCCTATATTCAGAAAAAAAAACAGTACCTACTCCAAATGAAAGGTACCTTGTAGAGCGATGTATGCTGTAATTAGTAAGGAAATTACGGGGAGTCATAACTACTTGATAGTTGTTTCAAAACAATTCATTATACCTGTACGAAGTAGGTTATAAGTAGATAGTGTTAAAATAAGTACTGAGTTTATTTATACCTAAATCTACAAACATAAATAAGAAAAAAACTGTAATTTCTACACAAACAACATAAACAATTAGAAAAAAACAGGGTACAGTGTTTAACAGTCTATATATGTATGTTTGTTCCTTTGTGGCACACTAGAGACCGAACGCCTGTACCGATTTTGATGATTCATACATCAATCGATTCGTCTTAATCATGGGAATGCTACTAAAGATATGATAGTAATCAAAATTCAATATGAGGAAAAATAGGCGCCATATTGTGACGAAGTAAAAAAAATAAGTTGACTAAATATGCCGAGTGGGGTATCATTGTCTAGATAATCAAAAATCATGTTTAGGTTCCTAACACTATTTTTCATTTTATGTGATTGATATTTTATTGTGATTTTATTTGGATCTACAACGCTTTAAAGTTGTTTAATAACCACTTGCGCTTTTAATTTCTATCTTACGTTTGTATGGATCTTTGTTACTCTTTCACCTAAAAAATACTGAATGGATTTTAATGAAACTTAATAGTAATATAGCTCATATATGATAATAACATATATATAATAATTTATGTAGTTATTCAGTGAATTGGCCAAAATATAACAATAAGTGTCACATAAGACGGACCAAAATCTCCCATCTGCGAGCCATTTTGGCCTGCACTGCAAAAACAATAAAGTTTCATGAATGTAATGTAGAGTGAAAATTTATCTATTTTTAATGTGTAAGCCATTACTGCTAAAATAGTGAATCAAAACTAGAATATTATTTGATATCTATTTCCAAAATGCACATTTTGTATTAACAAATTATTTTTATCAAAACAAATACTTTTATCGCTTTTGTCATTTCGACAAATATTTAAAAAGTTACAACGATGACAAAGTGATAGCGCGGTGTACTCTGTAGGAGTAGGCTGTGGGAATACTAAGGCCCGTATTACAGAATATCAACTAAATGTTAATCTTTACTTGAGTACAGTTATAAAAGGGATGTCGCTATGTGCTATATGTAATGACTTCCCTTTATAACTATGCTCAAGACTAGATTAATTACTGAGAATATTTTTATAATACAGGCCTTAAAGAAGAAATTAATTTTTGTGTTTATAAACGTAGATAAAACCTAGGCGAAAAAGAAAAAAATGGGCTACTCGCAGTATCTAATCCTATACGAAGTACTTACAATAAAACTGTGTTACAGTTCCTTCTTATTAAATGATGAAAAATAAATTATCATAATAGGTATTTATGATTATTGAAAAACTCAGAATTATACTGTTTTCAATTTTTTTAACGATATTACTTAATGTTACAAAAAAGGGTTACTTAATATAATGACAAATACCCATTTTTCGGTAGTCGGTACATACTTATTGGAATCCCTGTATTTATTAATCAGCTCGCAATAGTATTTTGGTTTTGTAATTATAAATGATAATTCTGCAAAATTCAAAGTAAATAATTTATAGTTATATAGGTAAATCACCCCTTCCATCACCCTACGCCTAAAGTATTGCGATGTTGTAGCTTAGAACCAAGTTCCCATCTACTTCTATAGGGGAATTCATTTTAATCGATTTAGCTATTAGGGCACGGAAGCGCAACAAACAAACTCACTTTCGCTTCTATAATATTATAAATACCTACTAGGCTGGTAGCAGCACGCTTGATAGGTGGAAGTGCTCTTCATTCGAGCTTTACACTACCAATAAAAAAGGTCGATAACAAAGTCTTTGACCTGTTATATGTGAATGCTTTAAAAGAAAACTACAAAGAGAACTATAAATTGATAATAAATGAGATTGCTATGGTGCTCTACCTAACGTTTAGAAAATTTTATTATGCGCCTTTTGTTTAATCAAATATTATAAACTTTGCTTTGGTGATTGCATAATTATTTAATTTATTTTATTTATCTAAGGCAGTTGCCACCATTGTCCAAAACAACAGACGGGAATTACTGCTTTCTTCAAACTGCAACATAAACGTCATTGATTGGTATTGTTTATAGGGTGATTAACAAAATTTGAAGTTAACTTCTGGCATCTGCATATTGGGTTTCTGTGAATTATGTTGTTATATCAAATTATGAGACTAGGATATGACACTGCATTTGTGTATATCACAATCTTAGAGCCGGACTTGACATGACAATGCAGCCACTGCCAATTTTAAATAGTCGACGAATAAAAGTAAATGAATTTTATATTTACTGCTAAACTACTAAAAAGAACATAAACAAAAAATTACTTTTTGAATAAGTGCTAGTTTACTATAAAATTTACATATATTAGATATCTACGTAGGTAACGACTTGATTTAACTTCACACATTTTTGCGAAAATTGAGGCCCATCTGTAACCTTGACCTCGCTGGTAGTCTCTCTATGTCTTATTAAATCAATTGTTTAGACCACCGCAAGGTACTTAATAATTTCCGCGATATTAATTCCCTTACTGAAGTAACAAGACTACGGTAAATACCGGCTTAAAATACTAACTAACTAAAAAGTGTGAAATAAAAAAGGTAAATTTAAAAAATCACAAAACCCGACTGCTTATTATACTTTAAATAAGGAACAAAGCTACTTTAAGAGTCGGGACCCATTATTGAAAAATATTATGTATTCTTGAACATCTAATGGGTCCCGACTGTTACAGTAGCTTTGTTCCTTATTAACAGAATTATAGACTACTGTAAGTACTTGTTTTTTTCTTTTCAGTTTTTATTTAAAGTATAATAATCGGGTCTTTTGATTTTTAAAATTTTTGCTAGTGCTACCCTTTTTATTTAAAATAACGGCGCAGAAGAGTAAACCCCTTCATATTTCTCTTCGAATAAATTATGATTGTAATCATTCAACCCTGTGGAGAGAATTAATGGTAATAACTATATAATGTGTTTCACCGATTAGAAACTCAGCAAAATCATATGCAAACTAGAGTCATGCTTCAGCTATCGGAATCCATTAATTCTTCATTATAAGTAGGAACTTACAGATCGATCAATGTTCAACTCAACATGATTTAACCGATATGGAAAGGTGAGCAACAGTGATCCACTAAAGAGTTAAGAGTGGATATTCGAAAATTGTTTTTTTATTGAAACTTGTGAATGAGGCTAGATTTATTACTATAGTGTCTAGTGTCTTTAAGGGTTCTTTCAATTTATGCGTTTTTTGACGGCCTGCTGCGGTGCCGAAGCGGTGCGTTTGTCGTACAGTGTACGGACGATCCTTTTTTTCCTGCTGCAACAGTGCGGCGCCGGTACCGCGAACGCTCGACAACGGGACTGTTGCCGCACCGCGCGTTTTGTATGAAAAAAAAAGGATGTCTGTACGCTGTACAACAAACGCACTGCTTCGGCACCGCAGCAGGCCGTCAAGAAACCCATAAATTGAAAGAGCCCTAAGATACTGGTGTCAATTCTGACATGATTCTCTAAACCTAAACTTAAATTTGACAACAGTGTCTATATAGATTAAAGAGGAGAGACTGATGTTAAATTTAGTTTTAAGTTTAGAGAATCGTGTCAGAATCGACACCAGTATTAATCTTATATTGATGGGAACCTCGAAGTGCAATATTCTGTTTTTTAAAGATGATAATTCGTCTCATTCTGTATAACACACATGTTTTCCCACTATCGACATGTTTTTATCGGTCGATAATATTGGATGCGTTATTGCGATAATGCGCCCTACTTTTATTGCTTCGTTATTATCGTAGCAGTGTGTAACTTCGTAGCCGTTCTAATACATAAAATACTAAAAACATATAT